AAAAAAATAAATTTTAATTGTTGTTGTATTTGTTACCAATTTTTTTCAAAACCGATTTATCTCGCAAACCGTTCATTTTTTCGAAATAAATAAAGAGTACCATTTTTAAAGAAAAACCTTCAGAGTATCTAATAATAATATTTTCAGTTTGATAAAATTACTTCTGTCAAAATTTTGAGAAAAATTGTGATAGGGCCAGTCCGTTTCTGGACACCTGATAATAGCAAAAAGTTGATTTTAGCATCAAATCGTAGAGCTCCATGTGTAATACAACGTACGAAAATTTTATTAAAATATACAGGGTGGTTTCAAAGTTATAACCCTAAACGTTTCTAGGTACCCCTTTGACCCCCCATAACTCCGTTAGGGGGCACATTAGGAAAAAAAATTATAGGAAGGACTAGTTTTATTTTGACCTCCCCTATACACTCCCGAGAGATTAGGAGGTACTTACCGGATACCCTGTAGATGCTAAATATTATGTAAACAACATATTAGTTTCCACTAGTGCTGGCAACTGAAATCGGTTTTTTGGATAGTCGGTTAACCGGTTTCGGATAATTCGGATTTTTATGAAATCCGAAAACCGGTTATTCGGTTATTCGATTCTTCAAATATCCGAAAACCGGTTATTCGGTTATTCGAATCTTCAAATATCCGATTATTCGATGATCTACTTTTTAGACATCGATTTGTCCGATTGCAATTGACCTTTTTTTTTTTGGAGATCGATTACTTCGTAAACAAATTTGACTTCCAGAGTTTTGTAAAGACCTTTTTTTTTAGACGATTTCTCCGGGTCTGTCATTGTAAAGCACCGATTTTCAGATATCCGGTTTTGGCGATTCAAGTAACGGGTTATTCGAATAACCGGTTTTAGCAACTATTCGACTAACCGGTTTTATCTGAAGTCGGTTTTTACGGAACCCGGTTAACCGGTTTCACTTTTTTCCGGTTTTTGCCAGCACTAGTTTCCACAGTCATAAAAATGGGGGGAAGACTGTTTAAAGGGTGGTTAATTGTATAATTTTTCGTAAATTCATGTTTTTCGCTTATAACTTTTGTCCGTTCATTTCCACGAGAAAACAGTAAAATACTTTTTTTGAAAAGACCTACAAAACTAGCCCTCGAGCGTCAAAAAATATAGATTAGATCAAAAGCTATAAACAGAAGAAGTTTATTTATGACTTTTGAATTAAGCATTTATAGACTGCGTTATTATTACCAAAACGTTTTGGTATCGCATCCTCTCATTCCTTATCACTGTCTAATAACTCACATGAAATCTGGAATCGGTAAGTTGAATAGTTTACAAGTTATGGCCTTATAAACAAATTAACTAATTATTAGTCTGGACGGTCCCGAGCATCTTCCACAACCGCACTGATTTTTTTCATGGTAGATTTCATAATAATACATTGAAATCTATAATTTTTTTTTAAATTTCAAATTTGCAACCTGGAAAGTTTTATATTTTTTTGCCGTAGTTGCAAAATGAAATATACGACGCACGCGCGTGATATAGTTATATACTATTACATATTCAGAAAGCTTATGAAAATAACTCTTTACGTTAAAAAAAAATCGTCAAGATTTGTTGAAAACCAACGGAATTACAGACTGTAACGATATTTGTGATACAGGGTCGGAAAGTCCCCATGGTTCATCGGCCCTTACGTGAGAGCGATAAAGAAAGTCATAGAAATCCGTGCGATAGAGACGGATGGCTATAATGAAGGCGTCTAATAGTCACCGCCCATTTCGCCCTTCCACTTATAAGATCCACTTCTTATTTATTTATACGCGCCACACCCTGTATAACTTAGAATCAATTCTGCTCACAAAATTGAAACTTAACTGTTATTATATCACTGTTTGCTTATAATTACCTACTAACATAAAATGTGAAAAAATAGTATTAACAAATCTCGTAAGAAAAGCAGTTTTACTAAACTGTACAGTTTGTACTTTTAGTAGATTTACTGGTTTTACTTTACAGTTACCACTTGTTCGTTTAACACAAGCATTTCCCTACGCCACATAATAAATAAAGACGAAAAAAGTCTGCGCAGGTGGTAGTAGATAGTCTAGTATAAATATAAAAGTACCTACCTACCAGTTGGATACAAATTTATATCACTGACTACTTACTTGCTGTTCTATGTACTTAACAATTTTTGGGAACCTCTAAAATGATACGCCCATGGAGTCACACTTCCCGCACCGTCCCAAGGATTAAAACTGAGCACTCTCGTAATAATAACACTTAAATAACTTAACTAAAATTTATTTTACATGTAACTATCGTAATCAAACGTCTACATCGGAATTTTCTCGAATCCAATCCCTGTATTCCGACAGCCTGGTGAAGACAGACGGATTTCCCACCTCGCAATCTGAATAGCCGAAAGATACAACTCCCACTTGGGCGCCGTTAACGACGAGGGGCCCTCCAGAGTCGCCATTGCAGGTGCCTACTTTAACGGTGCCCGAGAGACCGGAAAGACACAGGTGGGTGGGCTGGATGACCAGGTCGTAAGGTTGGATGCTTTTGCAAGCGTCGTTGGTGAGGATGTCGCTCACCACGTACCTCAGCAGTGGGGTTACACCCTGCTGGCCGGTTCTCGTCGTCCCCCAGCCCGCGATGAGGCCTAGAACGTTGGAAATGTGATCAGTGAACTGTTTGTAGAGAGATGTCTTCGACATAATGTTAGTCCAGGGAACCAAGGCCCCGAATTTTTTCGGATAGAACCGATTGACGTGAAACTTGGACTGTGAGCAGAAAATAGCTCAAGAAACAAAAGTTATATAGTGCCGATGAGCGCTTTTGCTCAAGGGGTGGAAGCCACACCCCTTCTAGGGGGTGAAAAATGAATCAATTTTAAGCAAAAAGTATCGTATGAACATTTTTCGATTAGTCAAAATTAGAGTTATTGGTGATTGAAAATGTACATGTTTTATTAAAAAAAGACGTTTTTCAGTAGTTTTTCTCGAATAACTCGGAAAATAGACATTCTGTGAAAAAAAATGATCTCGAAGAAAATGAAGCTTATAGAAAAAGAAAAAGATTGAATTTTTTTTTCATTTATGTAGGTGCAATAGGTGCTGAGATACGGTTGGTTGAAAATAATTTTATGTCCGCCAGAAACTAAATTGGAAGCATTTAACGCAAAATAACCAAAAAAAATCTATTTTTCAAGAAAAATGTTCAGAACATGTTTTAAAGTACTTTAAAAAATCTTTAAAATGAACTCGACTTTAAGTCAATAGCATAAAAATTAACAGAGTTATGATCAAAATAAAATTGTTAATTCGCATTTTCGGAAAAAAAATCAGTACAACTGATGAATTTTTCACGAGATTTAAAATTAAAAGCTGTCCTTCTACTATTTACATTTTTTATGTACCAACAATATATTATACAAGAAATAACATTTTTGAAAATAACTTTAAAAGTAAGAAAGATACGAAAAATATTCAAGAGTACAAAAGTTTAAATTTTTTTTCACATAATATTTTGTTTTTTTATTTGTGTAGGATAAAAATTAACAGAGATGTCGCTGCTAGAAGTTTGTAGTTGAGGTCGAAGGTCATATTTTTTAAACCCTTTAATCTCAAAAATAACGCTTTAAAAAATATTCAATTTTACAGTACTTTTAGCTGTCGAATTTTTTCGTAAAATCGTTTTAAGATCGTCTTAACAGCTTTAAAATGAAGGAAGTTATCGTTAAAAAAACAACGGTAGAGGTCTTTTAACATCTCATGAGCCGCGAAATGCGCGAAAGGCGTGGCGTATCCCCATNCGAGGACTACACCAATCTTGGGGGTATCAACTTTTAATCAATTTCGTTAATTTAAAATAAAGAAAATTACGGTACGGAAAGAGTACATCGCTTCAAAGTTGACTCAATATTTTTTGACACTCGAGGGCTAGTTTTATAGGTCTTATGAAGACAAAAAAAAAAAAGTACCTTACTGTTTTCTCGTGGAAATTAACGGAAAAAAGTTATAAGCGAAAAACCTGAATTTACGAAAAATTATACAATTAACCACCCTGTAAACAATCTTCCCCCCATTTTTATGACTGTGGAAACTAATATGTTATTGTACATAATATTTTTAGCATATATAGTGATAAATTCAGCTTGCCGAAACAAAAAGTCGCGAAATGGTCAATTCCCAGCTTATTTTCCTGGCCTAATAATTATTTAAGAAAGAAAAAACACGACTAGTCTGAAGCGCATTATTTTTAACTGTAAGTTGAATGCGAACGATTTTATTTTATCACGCAGTGCAATAAAGTTAAGTATATTATCTAAAACAAATTATTTATATTCGGTGTGGTACTGAAATTTAATCAACGAATCAATAAATATTTCCCAATAAAGACCACATAGATAATTAGGCTTTATCGACAAATCCCAGATTAAGCGAAAAATCCACAAATCACACGGCAATCAGTTGAGTCACAATTAATTCACATATTGCGCCTACAGTGGCTGTCCAATAGCTGCAAAAGCTCGAAGAATCCACTGTAGCCAATTTAACCAACGAGTTTTAAACAAATTCTTTTCACTTACATTATAACACAGTGGGCCGCGGTGAGTACCAGCCGGTTTGATATCAACGTACCCCCGCAAAAATACTCCGCCTCTCCTTTGTAGATCAAGAGGACTGCCTGGAAGGGATAAGCGTGAGCTTCGACTTCCTCACCCCCTATTATCCTGGTGGAACCGCCGGTAAAATGTACGTCCATTGGGTGCGCAAAATAGGAAGTGCTGTTCTCTTGCTCAACCTTGGAAATGATATCGGAGTAAAAATCACGCAGTCTTTGTTTTCACAATGTAAATCGGCGGGAAATTCAAAAAAATTGTCCCGGAAACATAGGAAAAGTGTATACATACCGGAAGAGAATGCACGTATGGCAAAACCAGCACCGCACAAACGAGTATCTTGTACATGTTTCTTCTTGAAGGTAACTACTCAACCAAGTCGAATCTAACTGTGGCATCGTCATGAAATATCACCTTTTTATATGAAATCTATGATAAAATATATTTTTATGTGTTTGCTTATTGATTATCTGTTATTACCGAGAAATATAAAAACATCTTTCTTCGCTGTCGGTAGTAGATAGATCGTAGATAGGGACCTGATAATCTTTCGTGGAAAGTGATGTGGAGAAGTACAAAGATTGTGGAGAAAATGAGATAGTTTAAGTGGTTCCCCTTGCGCTAAGCACAGCTAGATTAAAGGTAATAAATTAAATGCCCAGAGGTGTCCAATATCTATATCTGTTGTATAAATTGTCAAACAACAATCTTACAAAATACACCAGGAAAATTAACGAAGATAAAAAAGAAACTCGAAAAAAGTCCTATCCGCGAGCGAATTTGAAAATAATTTATGAATTTTTACTTTAATTTTACATTTAAATCGTAATTAAATAGCTAACAAAATATTGAAAAAACAAGTTTACTTTGTCTTAATATGTAAAAAAATTACTTTTTAAATGAACGATAGTTTCATTTATTTATTTAATAACAGTAAAATAATTCCGAAATTGAAATTTTAAGCAAAATTTACAGCGCGCATCAATTTGAACTTTAATTTTCTCGCGCGCGCGACTCACTTGGACGAGCTTCCCCCACCACTACGCCACCGGCCAGCGGACAATTTAACAATTGTGCTACGATTTAAAAAAATTCTTATCTTGGTTCCTGTTGGTCGTAGAGGATACGTTTTTTATTTTAAAACTGTATTTTTTTGCCAGCTATCCATTGCATCTATTTTCGGTGAGATAGCATAAATAGCAACAATGTTATTCAAATTGTTTATAAGTGAAAAACGCAGGATTTTTTAACGCACAATTTGAGAATGTTAATGTCAAAAAGAACGGTGATATTTTTTAATAGGTCGCTTAATTACGCCTTTAAGATTACAATGACGCTTTCAGAATCATGTTTGGTTGAAAATTAACGCCTGTACAGAAGCTTAAAGTTAATAACTTTTGGAGCCTCCGTTATAAACAAATTGAATTGTGCGAAAGCTATTGCACCTACAGCGCCCACTTTTGGCACACTTTTAAAGTATGATAAAACCCTCAACTTGTCATAGTTTTATAAAATTTTAACAATAAATGCGATAGTTATAAACAAATTAAAAAATGGGCACTTTCCTTGTTTTTTGCAAGGCAGCTAGGCGAATTTCAAACATTTTTTCTTATATGAATATAGGTCCATTTCGTTTTTGTTTAAAAGTTACAAGCATTTTGAAAAATATTATTTCATATTTCAATCACTCCAGCAAATTCAGATGAGCGGAAATCTTGAGTAAGTTCACCATCTAAATTACTGGTACGAGTTATTTAAATCATAAATATGCAATTATATTTTTTTATGTATGGCGCATATCGTCGTGATGAATTAATAAAATCCCATAGATGATGTGAAAGATCGTATGCTAAGATATGCTAAGAATCCTAATACAAAAAAACAACTACACACAGAACTTTTATCGTTGTCGACAGGTTTAGTTTAGAATTATGTAGAACATATTTAGCCGTACCTCCAAAAAACGTCACGTATCGCGGATTATTCGTATGAATTATTTAAAAACAATAAATGTACGAGTATAGTGATAGATAGCGGTGGGAATTTCACAAGTTTGAAATGTTATATCGAAAATTATGTTCAGAGGAAACTAATCGCATCAAATAACATTCTTAGTGTAGAAAATAAACAAAAACCAAACTGCAACTTCGATACACAAACCCAATATCATTAATAACACAATTATTTTGATCTCTAAATTGACCGGAGCATCAGCAATGTAATAATTAATTGTACTTTTAACATCGTGTCTTTATATCCAATATGTTTTCGATTCAACCACTGCCAATTTCCTACCCGTCGACTATGGTAAGCCGCAATATCCATGGCAATCATTGCACCAAGTTCGACATGAAGCAAAATAAGTGCGAAAATGTAAAATCCTTTGGATGTAAATCGTAACTTTTTCTGTAAGACAATGACATATTCTGTTATCATCGTTTTCCCTTGTGAAACCTTTAAAAATGCGGAAGAATTCCTGGATATTTCACCTTTCAAGGTAAACAAGCGAAATATATTCCTTTGTTATTAAAGGAGACTCATTCTTAAAAAAAAAGTAGATACGCACTTGCAAATGGGTAAATATAGAAGTCATGAAATCATGATAAGATATCGTTTATGGGAACGTACTTGACTGGTATCACTGGAAATCTAATTGTAAGTAAATAATTTATAAACTAGGCTAAAATTTGATTAAGGTTATCCAAGAAAACATTAGTCACTGCCGTTTCCTTTTTTGAGAAACGTACGTCATTTCAAGGAATAAATTTAATTTCTTATGGGTGTTTAGGCACCTGATTTTTACATACATATGACGTATTTGTGGCTATTTGGTGTACAAATCTCCCATAATGTCTTAAATGTTAAGCCTATCTTGCAAACATTTCTTTTCAAGTCGGGATAATCGATTTGATATTGCCTTCTTGCAGCAGCACTGTTTTCTCATGACAAATAGTAGGCTCTAACCATATCAACCTTTCGTGATTCGTATACATACTTTTTTCTCCAATCGTCACAAATGTATGAAATTTTTTGACCGTCTGAGAAGTCTCTAAGGTTGATATTTTCCTTACTGAGAAATAAAATGATATCTTAGCAATAAGTATTCACTTTTAATCCTAGGAGCTAAAGTTGATACTTTTAATCCTTAGATTAAAAGTGTTAATCAAGTTGTATTTTATAAAAGTTTATTCAGCAATATTTACAATAACTTTTGGTTATCCACAATGATATTAAATACACTGTTTGAACAAGTATTAAAATTAAATTAACCACTGAAACTGCCACTACTCTCTTTCTTGGAGCAATTCTCAAAGCAGTTCAACACGTTTTCATTAACAGTTATATTATTTTCAGATGTGAAATAAAAAATGACAACGTAGGCCAGAAAAAAGAGCTGGGAAATTACCATTTCGCGACATTTTGTTTCGGCAAGCTGAATTTTCACTATACAGGGTGTCCGGTAAGTACCTCCTAATCTCTCGGTGGTGTATAGGGGAAGTCAAAATAAAGCTAGTCCTTCCTATAATTTTTTTCCTAATGTGCCCTCTAACGGAGTTATCGGGGGTCAAAGGGGTACCTAGAAATTAACGTTTAGGGTAATAACTTTGAAACCACCCTGTATATTTTAATAAAATTTTCGTACGTTGTATTACACATGGAGCTCTACGATTTGATGCTAAAATCAACTTTTTGCTATTATCAGGTGTCCAGAAACGGACTGGCCCTATCACAATTTTTCTCAA